TTGTTTTAATATAGAATATTATAAAGTCAAAATATAATAAATTGTTTTCAGATTTGGAGTTTAAGATATAGCTGTAGAAGTGGCTTTAATTCTTTTAGATGTCTCATAAAATGAGGCTTTTTATATGTTAATGTATAATAAAACTGAAACAAGATTATTTTCCATTTGAAATTTTTGTATAGTTTAAAAATGCTTCCATATTCTGTGCCACTGCAGAACTTCAGTGCAGAGTTTATATTTAGCTCAACTGTTATGTTAATTAAGAAAAGCATAAATCTTTTATTCTTAATATTTGTAATTCTAAATAAATTGATCTATGAAAATTAATATTGTCTACATTTTTATTTAATTAATATAAGCTGATAGGTATTCCTTCTGCTTCAGAAGTTTTAATAAACTGTAATTTTTACTAACTTTTATTTTTACGGGAAACAGTACAGATTAATTACCAACTTATTCTGAATTACAATACCATCCAGTATTATCTTAAGGAGGATTTTTCTTCCACCCTACGTCACTGTGGAAAACACTATGCAAATAAGTTACTGGTCTTACCTATGGACCTAGTGAGAGGTCCATTTCAATATGTCCTGCCTAGCGTTAGGTAAGTATATTTTACACTTTTTTTGCATTTTACATTTCTTAAGGCTTACTTGTCACACTTAAATCACACTCATTTAGCACATATTTAAGTGCTGTCCATGACTTCCAGTGCCATCACGTATTGACTGCAGGAACTGTGCCCAAAAATATGTTTGAATTTTATTTCTGTTTGGGGAAGAAGAAGTCAGCACGATCCAAAGTTGTCCTTTTGGGTCGTCCGTACGTGAATTGGAGTGAGACGGCCACTGCCTCGCAGCTTCCTGCAGCTCTAAAGAAAGCTGTCGACGCCAGATTGAGCGAGGAGCAAGCACACCACGAGTTAGGTTGACTCGCTTCCAAATTGCTTGTAATCAGTTCAGATACCAGATTGCCTTGCTGCCGTGGAGAACCTACCAAAAGATTTGCCTGCCACACGTTTTCCCTTGATTCGCGCACCTTTCTCCAGCTTCATCATCACTGCGACTCCGCCCAGCTGCGGCCACCACTGGCCGGCACACTGCAGCCGTCTCCTGCTTTATCAGCTGCCAGGGTTCACTTGGTCCTCACCCAGCAGCTGTCGTTGAGCAATACTTTTAAAATGCAGAATCGCTCTTGTTCTCCCCATCTAAAGTCTTAGGGCTCTCAGGACAATTCGGAACTTGTACAAGACCCACAGAGCCAGGCATGGCCTGGCCTCCCCCACCAGTTTCTCCGTCCTGCTCCTCGCTCCCCAGGGCCTGTGCACATGCAGACCCCTGGCTACCTCTCTCCCTCACCTTGGTAACAGCTGCAGTCTCCTTACCTTCAGCATCACTTCCTCAGAAGCTTCCCTTGGCTACAACGCACCACCCAGGCCCTCCTACTGTTCCTTCCAGCACGCGTCACATGTGCGATTTTATATTTCTTTTGCATCCCAGCTGCCTTCTTTGCCCAATGAGGGGAAGGACTTTCTGGTTCTCTCATCATTTTATTTCCAGGCCTTGGTAAAGCATCTGTTCACAGGCACCAAATATATTTTTTTTATTTTAATCATTGTTCAAGTACAGTTGTCTGCCTTTTACTCCCATTCCAGCCCGCCCACCCACCCCTCCCCACTTCCCTCCCCACTTCCCTCCCATTACCACCCCCACCCCTAGTTTTTGTCCATGTGTCCTTTATACTTGTTCCTGTAAACCCTTCCCCTTTTCCCCTGAAATTCCCCTGAAATTCCCTCTTCTCTCCCCTCTGGTCACTGTCAGCCTGTCCTCTATTTCAGTATCTTTGGTTACATTTTGCTTGTTTCTTTGTTTTGTTGTTTAGGTTCCTGTTAAAGGTGAGATCATATGGTATTTGTCTTTCACTGCCTGGCTTGTTTCGCTTAGCATAATGCTTTCCAGCTCCATCCATGCTGTTGCAAAGGGTAGGAGCTGCTTCTTTCTTTCTGCTGCATAGAATTCCATTGTGTAAATGTACCATAGTTTTTTGATCCATTCATTTACTGATGGACATCTAGTTTGCTTCCAGCACCTAGCTGTTGTAAATTGTGCTGCTATGAACATTGGGATGCATAGGTTCTTTTGTGTTGGTGTTTTAGGCTTCTTAGGATATGGCACCGAATATTTGTGGAATGGATGAACAAATGAGGGTCTCAAACGAGCTCTAACATTAGTGGCACTGGAATAAAAGTGTGTTCTTTCTTGATGATCGCTTTGAAAGACGAGACAGTAATAAGTTGGATGTAGAAATTCTAATGAGGGGGTTGCCTTTAAACCTGTGATGTCATCACTAGTCCAGGTTTAACAAGGCCAGGCCAGTATAGAGGCATTACATGGTGGTAGGTAAGCGACGGAGTGAGTTACTCTTAGGTTTGAGTCCCGGCTGTCATTTTTATTAGCCGTGTGGTTGTGAACCTCTACTTAACCTACGTTTCCTGATCTTTAAATAATAGACCTTATTTGGCAGTTGTGAGGACTAAACAGAGAATGCCTGTAACACACGTAGCAGTTAGGGTCTCTTAGGAGTTTGAAAGAAGTGCAGACTACTGTTCTTAGAAGATCCATGTAACCAAATTTTAAAAAGTGTTCCCTGAGGAAAACAACAGTAAAAATGCAATACTACAATTAATAAGCTAATTGCAAGATTTGCTTGTAAATGTGATCGTTAGTGGACTCTAAAGTGTTAGGTCTTTCAGCGAAGGTATCTCGTTTGGCCATGTCACACGTCTAAATGCAAAGGAAGGCCCGTGACACCTGGCTGCCCCCGCAGTTGGCCCTGAGCATGGTGTTCGGCACATGGCCAACACTTGAAATAATCGCTAATGTTTACCATCTCATTTGTGGTTTCCAACAGTTCTCAGGGTTCCAAAGTCAAGTCTGCTGCGAAAGCCTGAACTATGTGCTTGTTGCTTTTAACCGTGGATTTGCTACCCTGGGAAGTGCAAGCCGTTTGAACACCACCTCTATGAACATTGGGGCAATTGGCGTGTATAAGCTGGAGGACATTCAACAGGGCTCAGGCTTTCCTAGGAACCACCGAACGCGGGTCCTGGCCCTAGCCACGGCTTTTCATTAGCCTTCTCCAAAGTGCAGTTTACAAAGAAACCTCCTCTGGTTACCTCCCATACAGTTTCCTTTGGCCTTCAGCAGTTTGAAACCCCTCAGAACAGCAAAACAATAACTTATCTCAGGCTGACTTAGAAACAGTAATTTATGTATGTTCTTAATGTATAAATTGGGATAGAGAGATCTCCTGAAACCAAAAGACTCATGAGACTAGATTTTGATCAAGCCAAAGATATGTTTTTAACCAAGTTAAATTTCTCAGCACAGTGGCCTGCTGGTATAAGTTCTTTTGGAAATTTTTTCATGGCCCCATAATATATTATACTGAACAACTCTGGAGCAAGACACTGTCTAAAGGACAGAAATTATTTAAATAGAATTACAATGAAGCATTTGTGGGAAGCATTTAATAATTCAGTAAAGTTGCATAGAAGTACAGTAACAAGTGCTAAGGATAATTAACGTTGGAGTGATCGAAGGAAAGGCACGAAGCTAGAACTAGCGAAAGTGTCAGACTTCAGAGAGAAGGGGTTCTCCGGTGTTTGAAGGAGGTATTTGTTTAGTCCCAGAAGCTGAAAGGAGTGTCTTTGAGACAGAGGCAGAACTCACGGATGGGTCACCTTAAGAAGGTCTCCACACCTACTCTGTAGGTTACAGCTGTCGTGTATCTGAGGGGTTACCAAAGGTTTCTATAATCTGGTAGCAGTCGGAGACTACTACAGATTTCCAAAGACAGTAATTTTTCTTTTTTTACTTTTACACATATGGCTTTATTAAAATCTTTGGATATGTGACTTAAAGAAGTTAATGAACTTTCTTCGACAGTTTTTTTAAATTTTGTCCTGAGGGTGAGTCTTTATTATCCCTTTTGCATGACTTTGCTTTTTTCTAACCAACTCTTAGCTTAACTTTCTAAAAAAACTATGTCAAGTTTTTAAAATCAGTCATTTGTTAAAGTCTAATGTATTTCACACTTTTTGTCTTAACAATTTTAAAAACCAAACCCAAAACTCTGTATTTTAATTAAGCAGTCCAAAAATTTATTTCTGTTTTGCAATTTACCTATCTGACCTAATAGAGTAATTTTTGGAAGCTGAGAACCTAGATGCAGGGAGCACTTGAAATAATCTGGACACAGAATCATTGAAGCTACAGCTGAGTGTAAAGGTGACAGACCAAATTAAAAAGCAGTAAAGCTTTGTGCTGGGTTGACGGTAGATGGAGATGGGTTAGACTGCAGGGCTGTTCAACCTGCGGCCCGTGGGCCACAGGCAGCCCAGGATGGCTGTGAATGCACCCAACACAAAACCATAAATTTACTTAAAACACTATGAGATTTTTTGTGTGTGATTATGTGTCGCAACATATTTAATGTGTGGCCCAAGACAACCCTTCTTCCAGTGTGGCCCAGAGACGCCCGAAGGTTGGGCAGCCCTGGATTACAGTTTAAGGCTACAAACCTTTCAGGAGACGTGAGAAGACGGCGGCTGTCGAGCCCAACGGGAAACTGAGTCAAGCTCAGGCACTGTTGTTGAGATAATGAGTTTTTTTTTTAAAACCAGTTCAAAAATAACACAACCGGCAAGAAGGAACACGGATCGAGACCGAATGGAGCGTGCAGGTTTGGAGATGTGCAGGTGGAAACAGCCAGAAGTCCTGGTGGGGTGTGGGCGCATTACAGAGGGAAAAGCAAATGAGCCGGGGCCCAGGCTCGGAGGCGAAGGGGAGGAGCCTCCCCAGGTGACAGATGACGTCAGAACCGTCATCAGGATTCACACTGTCCTTAACACGGAAGCCAGAAAGGACCGCATTCTGACGTGTCTCCCTGGTTGCCGGCCCGTCGTGGCTCCTCCGAGCTTATCCTGAGTTCCAGAATCCTCAGGAGTGACCAAAGGCAGAAAAGATGTGTTCCTCCCAGGAGTCCAGTTTTGAACCAATGTCTTCCGGGAGCGAATAGGTTTCACAGTGCTGACCTTGTGAGCTAAGGTCAGAGCTGCCCCCTCCGACCCTGCTGGAATCAGGTGGGCAGTTCACGTCCACCTCGGCGGGCAGCTGGGGCCGCAAACGTCTGGCTTCAGTTCCGTGGGCGGGGTGGGGGAGGAGGAGCTCCGGCCGGCCTGCAGGCTGGAAGGGTTTCCCGCTCTGGCGCCGAGACTTGGCTCGCCTGTTCTGGAACCACACCTGGAGCAGGGGACAGAAAACCAGCTTTTGGTTGGACTCCGGAGCAGAAGCTCCCGATTAATACGCCCCAGCTCCTGGCTCCATACTGGGGCGCAGAAGCACTTCCATTGGGGGAAAACAATACTATTATGCTTAAAGATGATAAAGCACTGGCTGACGTAGCTCAGCGGACTGAGTGCGGGCTGCGAACCAAAATGTCGCAGGTTCGATTCCCAGCCAGGGTACATTCCTGGGTTGCAGGCCATGACCCCCAGCAACCGCACATTGATGTCTCTCTCTCTCTCTCTCTCTCTCTCTCTCTCTCTCTCTCTCTCTCTCTCTCCCCCCTTCTCTCTCTAAAAATAAATAAATAAAATCTTTTTTAAAAAGATGATAGATGTTACAATAATTCAGAAAATCAATTTTTTAAAGTGCAAGTACTCCTTGTCAAACTCATCAGGGAGGTATTTTGTTCGATGGACGTCACTCTTCTGCCCACTGTTTCCCAACAAACACTGAAGGTGTCCCACTCAGGAAGAAGCCACTGCACCAGCCGTGGAAGCAGACACAGGGACCCCACGGGGTGCAGAGCTACAAGCCCGCCCTCTCCCCCGGGGTGGAAACGAGCGCCCCTACTTCAAACCGCGCCGGGGCTCAGACGAAGGGGCTGCAAGGGGCGCACGTCTCATCACCACCGGACTCCAGGGTTCCGGTCTCACTTCAGCCATCACCGCACCTTGCACTCGATTGTTGCACATTCTGACAAGCTCCTCTGCGTCCAGCTCTATCCCCAGGTGCTCCATCCTTTGGAACCAAACTTCGAGACCCCAGCCCTGCCAGCACGGTGGCCTGGGGCCCAAGGCTGACTTGGGGAGCCCGGCCTGCCCTCCCTCTCTCCTCTGCCACTCTCCTGCCCGAGGGAAAGCCCAGCCGGGCCTCCTCCGCCTCTTCTTCCAGGAAGAAGTGGGAAAATACTTCCCATCACCTTCCGGCTCAGGACCTACTCTCTGACCATTTCCAGGGGCCAGCCGGCCAGCCTCCCGGCGGTGGGGGGGTTGGGGGGACGGCTAATCATACTTACCGGTAACAGAGGTCATCGAGCCCCCCCGCCCCCCCAGTCACATCTCACTGAAGCCTCGCCAAGTCCCTGTGCGGTGGGGACTGATGTGGTCCCTGCTTTGGAGTCGAGGTCACCGCGGCTCAGGTACCGCGCGGGCACCGGGCCCAGGGCCTCCACCCAGGGCGCCCCGGCGACGCGCCGCTCACCTGGATCCTGGACTCGGGGAGCAGCGTGAGCGCGGCCAGGCGCTCGCGCAGGTGGATGTCGGGGTACATGGTCCGGCGGAAAACCAGCTCCAGCAGCTGCAGCTGCTCGGGGCTGAACGACGTGCGCTTGCGGCGCTGGGAGGCCGACGGGGCGGCCGCGCCTTTGGGGGGCGCTGGCGCGTCCCGGCCGGCGGGGGGCAGTGCGGCGGGGCCGGGGCCCCTCCCCAGGAAGCCCGAAAAGGCGGCCGGGGCGCCGCGATCCGGGCCCGGGCCCGAGGGGTTCGCGGGGTGCAGCGGGGCGGAGGCGGGGCCCGGGGGCGGCAGCAGCGTCCCGCCCGTGTGAACTGGCCGGTACACCGGGAATGAGGCGCTGTCCCCGAGCTGGAACTGGCGGGACCCTGCCGCGGCCATCGCTGCGCGACCCTGGTGTGCCCCCGAGCAGGGCACAGGCTACGGTTATACGGACCCCAGGGCCCAGGGAGGGGACCAGGGTGGCGGGCGATCAAAGGGGTGGACGCAGGGAGGCCCGTGGCTCCCGGGGTGTGAGCCCTCCCCTGGCCCCGCCAGACACCGGTGGGAATAATCGCTTCCGCTGCCCGTGGGATGCGGGGAGGGAGGCGCGAACTTGGGCCCGGAGCCCCCTCCCGGGCCCTCCCCCGTCCATCCGCCCGCCAGCCCCTGGGCCGCAATCAACATCCCCGGGACGCTTGTGCTCTGGGAGGGGCGGCCTGGGACCCTGACCGCCTATGCCAGTGGGGCACAGCGACCCCCTCCCCCAGGGGTCAGGTCACCCACTCGGCGCGGGGGGCCTCGGGCCAGCCTATCTGTTGCAGGGCTTGGTGGTGAGCCCTGCCCGCGGTCCCGCCTGTCATCTTCAAAGGCATTTATTTACCCCCCCTGATACGTGCTAGACCCTGGGCCAGGTTGGTCAAACAGCCCGCCCCTGACCTCCTCAAGCCTCCCTAACACATCCTGACTCGGAAGGAGGGGGCGCAGATAAAGGGACCTCAAAGGGAGGCAGTAAGCTCACCCTGGGGAACTGGGGGTTGGGGGCGGGGTCAACCCTTTTTTGCCTGGAACGTGGCGCGGGCCTGGGAATAAGGATTCCTTGAGCGCGCAGCTTTGAAAGTACGGTGATCTTTAGCAGACGCTGATGTGGCCTTTCTGGAGGCGTCCACTGATGCTCAGGACACAGCCCGCTGGAAGGGAGGAGATGGAAAGGGGCTCCAGAAGTTTCCACTCCTTTTAGCCTCTACCTTTTTGCCCTTGTTTAAGGGTCGTCCCCCCACCTCCCCATTTCATCTTAGGGAGCAGAAACCCATTTCTCTCACTGGAGTCTATGGGCAACTGGTGGACACACCTGCCACTATGCACCAGGCTCTGTGCTGCCCCTCCACTGACCTCGAGGAAGCGGCTGTCCCGGGATGCACGTGCTAGAAAGGGAACACACAGACCAGGGCGAGGCCTCAGGAGAGGAACTCAGGAGACCAGGTCTTCCCGCTCCCAGAACCTGAGCCCTGAGTTCACCAGGGCCTTTCAGGGCCCCCGTCCTGGCGCCATCCATTCCAGAATGCTGCAGGGCCACCTCAGCAAGAGCCTGGATGCTCTCACCCTGGGTGGACATTCCAGCTGTCACCGCAGGAGGGATTCTGGGTGCTGCTGGAAGCATTCTGAGCTCGATTTTCTCCTGGCGGGGCGGGGGTGTCAGGGCCTGTCCCAGACCCCTGCATGGCCCCTGAGGCTCTAAGAGACAACCCAGTAACACTCACCGCCTGCCCCTCCATCTGCCCCAAGCTTCCGTCCCTCTTTTCTTCCTTTCTCCCTCTCTCCACCCTTCCTCCCTTACTCTTTTGCCTGCTCCTTGGGGACTTTCAGGCAGAAGGATATGGAATTGGGGACGGGGCGGACCCTCTATTGTTCTGTGCTCTTTCATTCTTTCATTAACTCAAAAGCCATTTCCGAAGCGTCCCTGTGTGAGGTCGTGCTTTAAGTGTGTTTCTATAAATTAGGCATTTCTGTCCCATCTTTACGGATCAGGAAAGAGTTCACCATCTGGACAGGCCCACTGGCTCCAAAGCCACTGCTCCAGGCTGGCCTCGAGACATGGCTCCAGGCTCACCGCGGAGTCCCCTGCCGCCTCAGGAAGAAGGCAAAGCCCCCTGTCCTCCCCACTCCAGGGGTGGGGGTGGGTGTGGGCGGTGTTGTCTCTCAGGCACATGGGGCTCCTTAGGTTCCCAGGAGCAGGCAGCGGTGACAGGGCCAGATCTCTGCAGACCTGAGTTCCGCTGCTGTAGGGACGAGCACCAGGAAGCCAAACCCAGGAGGAAACCAGTGTATGCTGCTGGCTGCTGGCAGCTGGCTGCTGGCTGCTGGCTGCTGGCTGCCAGCTAAGGTTTGACAGCCAGAGATGGCCCAGCAACCCAGAAGCTCTGCCAAGGGCTGGGAGTCCTGGGGGTTCTCCGGCCTGTGTGGAAATTCCCGAGGCCTCTGGCCAAGCTTCACTCCCCTGCTGTTTGGGCACACTGGCGAGGCCCCGAGCGAGCGGGTCTGCTTTGCGGTGGGCCCGGAAAATGGACCTGCAGAGGCGAATGTGGCGGCCGACCACACGTGGAAACTGCGGGTGGCCTGCGGAGGCCGTCCAGCCGGGGGCAACCACAGCCTTTCTCCGCCTTTTACACTGGTGGCAAGAAATTCCCGCACTCAGTCTGTGGCTCAATCATGATCCAAACGAACTAAACAAGCGTTACGTTATGACTTTACCCGAGAGCTTGTGTGGTATTATCATCTATACTGAATTAAGACTTCAGCCTTTCCCCTTCTCTCCTCCCTTTGCTTAAAATGAAGTTTTAATTGTGTCTGCTTGCATGCGCCTAAAAATAGCCTAGAATGGAAACCCAGAGCTGGGACTGGGAGTGAGGGGTTGGAGAGGAAGTCTTTCCTGTATTCCCTTTGGTGCAGCTTTGTTATTATTTTATTAAATCATGTGCCTGTATTAATGTTGTAAGTCTATGTTTAAAACCTAGTGTTTCGATGACTAAATGCAATGTGGTATTCTGGGTTGGATCCTTAGGAAATAAAAAAAAGGACATTAGTGGGAAAATTGGTGAGATCTCAATTTAAAAAAAAAATGAAGCAGAGGGTGCAGTGTCATAGATCTGGAAAGAGAGATCATTTCACCCCGGGAATAGATTTCCCAGTGCCATTGGGGTCTTCGTTGGTGAGGGTTAGCAAGAGCGGAGCTTCCGCTGGTCTCTGCAGAAGCTCTGACGTGTGCACGCACTCAAAATTCAAGTTAGCTTCCCACTTCCCTTTGGTTTGACGGACACCTATGAAATCGTAAGTGGTTTGCTCTAAATGCAATTTCTAGATTCCTTACTCAGTTACCCTGCTGCAAATGTACCATGAATAATTTGTTAATTCTTCTATACCTGTATCCCAAATTGGAAAATGGAAAAGAGCCCAATTTGGGGCAATATCTTAAAAAGCAATTATTGCAATATACTTTTCCCAAGTAGATAATCTGTGACATTGAAGTCTATTTCAAGTTGACTCTATAAGTAGGGCTTTCTCTTTTTTTCCAATCAAAGTAAGCCAGTGTAAGCAGTTTCGGGGCAGCCAAGTGAAGTTCGGGGCTAGCTGAAGACGCTGTCGCCAAGGTCGAGGACAGGAGTCCCCTTGCCAGCACCTAGGCTCGCTGGCTGCCCGCTTGGTTTGCTTTGGCCCTGAGCTGTATTTGGCCTGTCAAATGAAATAGACACAAGGGGAGGGCAGGGTGACAGAGAAGACAAGGCTCAAGGATTCTTTCTGTGAAGTGGGGGAAGGCCAGCAAATATAAGTAAAGATGCAGTAGGAAAGCAGTAAGCTTTAAAAAAGGGGGGGGGGTTGTCTGAAGCACCTCAGGGGGAGGGGGGAGGATGGAGCTGCTGGTTCGGGGCTACTGTCCACTGCTGTCCTCTCCTGCATCCTCAGCATTGCCCCCCACATTCCCCACCACGGTGGTTCCTGGCTCCCCCAGATCTCTCAGGGGCCTGCCTGTCCTCTCTAAGTGCTAAGTACTCTCTTCCCCAGGTCTCTTTGTTGTCTGAGTCAGTCCTTCTGCACTGCCCTGAGCCCCGGCGGGCGGCGTGGAGCCCCGGCTGTTTGTTAAAGAGAGGACGGGGAGAGGCTGCCTGGGGGGGTCGGTGGCTCCGCTGCTTTCGCCCTGAGACCCCGGGGCTGTCTGCCCCTTTGATCCTGGCCTCGCTTTGATTTCATCTCCCCTCCTGCCCGGGCCTCTTCAGACCCCGGCGTTCAGGTCAGAACCAGTGGTTGCAAGAGACTGAGAGACAACGCGCCCCCAGAAGGCAGTGATGTGCCCGGAAAGTGATCCGTGCTAAGAAGCGTTTGTTTGTGGTTTAGTGCGACCCCATATACATTCAAATAACAAACACAAAATACATCTTGAACTCAACGGGCTGTGTCTCTTATACTTCTTTTCTTCTTTCAGCTTTTTCTACCCAAAGCTTCGGAGCAAGGGAGACCCCCCCCCCCCCGCCACCAGGTGAGCCTTTATATCATCGGCTGGCAAATCACTCTCTTTGCTGATAGTTTTTTATACGTAGACACAAAGAGGTGTCTACCTGGCATGAAATCATACATTGGGTTAGAATGGTGGACCCTCACTGGTGCTGTTTAAACGGAACTCTGCCTCTGTTTTCAAACCAGGCAGTCGTAGCCGGATCTGGGCGCCACATCTCATATCACTGCAGCGTTCGTAAGCAGTGCGTGTTCAAAAGGGACCTTTCACGCTGGCTGGTGACGGGCTTGTGATACCACAGAAAGTCTCTTTAACATCGTCATTTGATGTAAACCCCACTTCATTTGATCACTTCATTTTCTTCCAACCTCACAGCGAAGCTAACTTGGCTTCAGGAGCTCTCTGACTTTCTCGGCGGGGATGTGACGTTGTATTGAATGAGTGCCTACCACGGGTCTTCCATGAGGCCTCACTGGAAAGAAAAGTAAAGAGAGAGGCGTCAGGAGAACACAGCATCTGCCCATACCTCTCTTTTCTGCCCCCAAATAATTTATAAAAGTGTCAGCTGATACCCAGAATAACCTAAGGTCAATGCTGGACTCCGTGTCCCTGCCAGCATGGACTGGGTAGGCATCTTCAAGGTTGCCTTGTGCTGGAGATTCGAAGCCCACCGTAGCTGAGAGGCACCTGGGCATATCAAACACCACCCTGAACTGTCCCCAGCAAACACAGATTCTTGGAGGCCGTAGGATATAATAGGGCGTGCTCAAATAGATTCTGATCCACTTTAGTGTACACCACCAACACGGAGGTTTAAATAAACTGTCCCTGTCTCTCAGGCGGTTGGGCACTTAGCTCTCATAATAATCTGAACTCCCAGCATCCGTCTGGACAG